AATAACAACAACAACGAACGAACGTAACAACACTACCTACCGTACTACTACGTTACTACTAACTACGTACGTCTCGTACGTACGTTACGTACGTAGTAGTAGTTCTCTCTCTCTCTCTCTCTCTCTCTCTCTCTCTCACACACACACACACACACACACACACACACACACACACACACACACACACACACACACACACACACATACACACATGCACACACAGAATCTCCTGGCATTTTGACTATCAAATGGAACATATAGGTTAGATCCCTACCTCCATTCACAAAATAAAGCTCAGATTCTGTCCAATAAGATTTATCGTGGATAAATGAAAACCAAGATTCATTAACCAAACATGGCAACACATATCCTCCGGTCCAAATATAAAAATAAAGCAGAATTGCAAAAACAAAACATGAATGCAAACAGCTCCCTTGAAGTACATGTGATTGAAGGAGTCTCTATGGTGATGATATCCCACTCTAATGGTCCCCAAGATGGTGCATTTGAAGCTTCTGTGCCTCCTCCATTCTACTAGACTCACAGCATGCGTTTGGAGGATGTTGGAAAAGTGTTCTCACCATCCGTAACTTGAATTCAATAAAGCTGCTAAAGAAAAGAAACAGGTGTCTATATTTCCTCACAAACAAGGCTGCCAACTCAAGTAAAAATCCATAAAGCCTTGTTTTTGCTCCAAGACAACAAAAAGAAAAAACTAGCTTATTCGCAGCTCTTGCAAATCCTCAACTCTCCTAGACTTAAATCCCTAATCCTATCAGGCTATCTCCAGATGTTGATTGGCACCAAATACTTTATTGCCTTGCACGGCATACCATCATATAGATATAAATTCCAAACTTGTCATACAATAATTGGATTGGATCACTACAAAAGACAACAACCCATAACTAGGTCAAACTCAGATGGGAAAAAAAAAACTAGCAAGCCTACTTGGAGACCCATACCACCTCCTTGTCCCTTGTCGGGAGTAGGAGGAGTAAAAGAAGCAGCAGATACCTTTGCATTCATCTCAATATAGGCAAGAAGTTAACGATCAAATCAAACTCTGACAAAGACTTATGAATAGCAACCGGCTGATTCATACTATTGAAAATGCTAAACTATACATTTATAGTCATAGCCCCACTTTTTATTTGTTGAAGTTCCAAATGTAAGTGCATTACACAACTTGTAGTACTTGAGAATGCGAAGAATGCAGTCAGTCCTAAACATCCAGTGCAATAGAACTACCAAAACTGAGGTCATCAGTTCAGGAATAGAGTATAGGACATACACAAAGTTATGAGGGGTACGTTTCAACCAATTAAACTATAAACCCCGACAATTCTCTCTACATGCAATTCGCTCACTTCGGAGTGAACAGAAAGAGGAGGCCTTTGCTCTATCTGCTTCTTCCTCTTCCCAGGAATGAATAATGGGGGCCTGCGAGAAGCAAGCTATCTTTTGCGACTCAAACTGCCGGTACACTTTCTTTCTGGCTTGCGACGACTGAAAACAGGCGGGGGCTCTCTATTTGCTTGCAATGTCGGCTGTTCACCTTTCGTCAAGGCCTACTGATGGCTGGTTGTCCGCCTATTTGATTCAAAACAAAAGGCACAACTGAACTACTTGACTTATGTGCAGCTAGAGTAGTACAACAGAATGCCATTCGCCCTACTTCAGTCACAAGCCCCCTTAGCAAGCCCGTATGCTACCACAATGGATGACAAAGGGGCGGTTAGTGAGAGTGAAGGGCTAAGTGGCACCACCCATGCTTGGTGAATAGGGTTCAGCAAAAAGTGCTACTACTAGGTGGCTTCCAAGACAGCAGACTCTAGTGAGCTCAGGATAGGCTCGTAAAAAGAAACCTAATCTACAACTCTTTTTTCTATTATTTTGTTTGGAATAAAAATGAAATCTATAGAATCAGGATTATGCTACCGAAGAGACCACATTTTCCAATTGCATTCATGGTATACAAATTGTTGGGGATAGTGGAACCACACTCTTCAAGCTGGTGAAAGAGTTGTTGGCTGTGAATCAAGGCGAACTTGTCTTCACCATGCTGGGGAGGAACAATGGAAGCCACAGTACATATAGCGAAGAGGGAAATAATCAAGAATAAGACAAAGAATTTTATGCATGGAAGGAGGGAAGAAATAAAATAATAATAATAATAAAGGGTGAGAGAATATAGCCTCTCTCAGGGTCTACAAGGGAATCTACCCCAAGATCTTTTCACAAGATCAACTCTTTACTGAATCACCAAATTCTCTCCTTTACAAAGAAGGGAATCTCCCCTTTAAATGCACTTAGAAGAAAGAAAAAATAAATAAATAAATAAATAAATCCAAAAATTATCTCTCTAAAAGTCGCGTACATCTCTATCTCCCTATTTTGTCACGTGAAGCCTGCATATCTCTTCCTTATCTCCCTATTTTCTCTCACGTGAATCTCTATAAGCCTCCACATCTCTTCCTAAATTTTAGTTCCTAATCTATTCCACAAGAGCCTCCTAAAAAAAACAACTCATATCAAACTTAAGATTTATCTTTTTAAAACTAACCAACCCAATTGCTACCCCATCATCAAAACAACTCACCCACCAAAAACTCACACACCAAAAATCCTCCCACCTAACTTACCCCAACGTACTTCCTATTCCTAAAACAAAAAATTAATCTATTAAAATAAAATAAAATAAAATTTTGAATTTTCCTAATATCTTTCTGCATCAGAATTGAAGAAAAATCTGGTTGACTTATCAAAAAGAACATTAGGGAGAAAGAGGGAGGGAATATTCATGGGAGAGGTAAGAAGAGGAAGAGATCATAGGTTTATTTTTCAGTACAATAATAAAGGGAAAATAATCAAGGATAAGACAAAGAATTGAAGAAAAATCTGGTTGACTTATCAAAAAGAAAGTTAGAGAGAGAGAGAGAGGGAGGGAATATTCATGGGAGAGGTAAGAAGTGGAAGAGATCATAGGTTTACTTTTCAGTGGCATAATAAAAGTTGCTAGAGATATAATGAATGACAAAATTTCTAAAATCTGCGAGGAGTTGTTGTAAAACTTTAAAATTAAGTCTCTGTGCATGCCCCCCATTCCTTTATGGGCCTACATTTGCCTTTCAACAAGGTAACTTAGGCATCCCATTCCCATTTTAGTAACTAAGGCTTTCATTCCCATTTTGGATACAACAAATTTCACCAAAGGATTAACTTAATGGACCACATATTAAACCTACCAACATCTATTCGAACAAGCAGAGCTCTTAGTTCACCAATCAATGCGGAAAGGGCATTAACCTGTATAGTAGAGTCTATGGAGATATTCACAATTTCCAGGACTTGAAGTTAAGTCCTTATAAACTATGATAGATTTCTACAAATAGACTATGGCGTACATTTTTTTTTGAGTTCCAATGCACACAAGATTCTCATTCCTATTTCTTGTTCTTTCAACCTCAATATAGCCAACTAGATTACAACTATTACAGGATTGGCAGTTGCAAACATATCAACCCAATTCCATATCACCTTTTACAAAAAAGGGGCTACCTAAAGACCCATAATACACCTCCAAGTCCACCACCCCCAACAGAAAGACCCAACATCAGGCATTCCACAAAGCAGAAAAGATTTTAACTAAAGATGTTAATCGCTTATATTAACAACGCAGTGGGCTTCACTCTGACAAGGATGTTGAGATGGATGAGCCGCAAGGCAAGACGGGATAAAATTCAAAATGAGGACATACGCGAGAACTTAGGTGTGGCTCCAATGGGCGATGAGATGAAAGAAAGTAGACTTAAGTAGGCTGGCTATATATA